TCAGATGGATGTCTTCAATAACAGACAAGTTTTATCCTAATCAAGTTTCAACAAATGAACTATCTGAAAAATAAAATCACACATGATTTTTAAAGTAATAGTATGTCACAATTTAGAATGAAAAAAAAAATCAGGTCTCAAATTGTTATCTACTCAGGAATCTAATTAATTTGAAGTGGACAATTCCAGTTCAGATTACAGTTCCTATAATCCCCGAGGCATGAAACCTATGATTTATGGAGGTTGTAGGCCAGTCTACTTAATTGCCTATCTCTAATTTACGTTTATTTATTTTATTTTTAAACATATTGTGATGACCCGGGGCGTGGCACAAAGACAACACAGTCACATAAGTAAGAAGAGTCCCTTTAATACCTCCAACTTTGCCCCCAATGTCCAGGTTACCTTCGGTTGGAGAAAAATATTCTCCCAAGAACAGTCTTTAAGTGGAGGAAATTCAGTCCGAAAACAAAGTACATACAAACTGTAAATAAAAATCCACACAAACCACACTGCAGTAATTAACTTGACAGGGCAGGAGAAGGAATTCCAGACTTGAAAGGCCAGCAAAACACACACAGTTGGAAAGATGCCAGGAACTCAGATAAGCCTCCACAATAACAGATAACTCACAATTTGCTTCCAACAAGTTGCTGTGCACAGCTTTCCTTTTTAAACACTGTGTTCCCAGCTGCAGCTAATGAAGGGAATCAGGGCCTTTTCCTCCCCCGTAAGACATGAACTCATGTTGCTCCCTTCTCCTTTCCTCCCTGCATCCCCTAGGATGAAGAGAGGGTGGGCCTGGGCCTTCCTCTGAATTTCCTCTGCCTTGCTCTACCTCTTCCCTGCTCTGCCCAGCCGGACTGTGCCCTTCCCCAGTTTCTTCCTTCCTTCCACAGCCAATGGAGCCACACTGCCACTCCCTCTCAGCTGCTCGGCCTCCCCCTCAGAATCAGATTCCAACAGAGGCATGACACACATATGTGTGGCAACTTGGAATTGTGTATTTATTTTTCATACAGAATAGTCTTGAAGCTTAGAACATTTAATGATAGGAATTCTCATTTATTAGTTTTGTAACTATATTTCAGTTTGATGCCATTCAAGCATTTTAGAACTACTATTCTTATAATTTCCAGTAATGTATGAAAGATAGGATGTAGCACAGAAATCTAAAAACCAGTATACAAATAACAGTATTTATATTTGTGGTTAATTTTGTTTTTTATTTTAATTAGCTGGTTGTATTGTACAGTGCCCAAAGTAAAGTTTGTGAGATAGATGGTTATATAACTCGGGGAGAGGGAGTTGGGAAAAACCTGATTTACATAAACATATTTTTCTCCTGAGGACTATATTCAGCCAGTTGAGCATGTACATAGAAAGCGGCATGGCATACAGCTGTATTATGTACTGCAGTGGCCCCCAGCCTTTTTCGAACCAGGGACCGGTTTCACAATTATTTATTCTTCCATAGACCGGTACCTGAGTAACGTGAGACTCCACCGCCATCGGGACGGCTCTTCGTTCGAAGCCACCCCCCCCTCGACGAAACTAAGGTGCGAGCACCCAAACACCTCTTTCCAACTGAAAAACAGGAAGCACTTTCCAACCAAAAACCCGGAAGCAACCGAAAACCCGGAAGCGCTGTTGAAACAAGATGGCGGCGCCCAAGCTTTGTGGCCCGGTAAAAAATGATCCACAGACCGGTACCGGTCCAGGGACCGGTGGTTGGGGACCCCTGATGTACTGTACTGTACTAGTATCTAACAATGGCACTAACAAGCTTTGACAATGTATTTTTTCTGACCACACCAGTACCTTCATATGAGACAGGTTTAACTCAACTTTAGTAGATTTTAAAAAGTGTTTAAAAATGATTTTTTCCCCTATCTATATTCGAGGGCATCCCCATGATGTATGAAACTTATCATCCATTGCTTTAGAGCTGTGATAGTGAACCTATGACACGCATGCCACAGGTGGCATGCAGAGCCATTTGTGTGGGCATGCAAGCCCCAGCCAAACTTACCTGCATTGTGCATGTGCGCACCTCCCAGCTGATTTTTGGTCCGTCTGAGGCTGTTTTTGCCCTCCTGGACACTCAAGGGAACCCTCTGCAGCCTCAGACTGAAAAACGGGCCTTCTGGAAATACCAGAAATGCCAGTTTCAGCCTTCGGAGGGCCTCTGGAGTCCAGGAGAGGCCGTTTTCGCCCTTCCAGAGGCTCAAGGGAACCCTCTGTAGCCTCTGGAGGCCAAAAAAATGGGCCTTCTGGAAATAACGGAAGCGCCAAAACATTTTCAGGCTCCCGAGGCTTCCCTTGAGCCTCTGGGAGGGCGAAAATGGCCGCTCCCAGGCTTCAGGGGGCCCTCTGGAGGCTGAAAACTGGCATTTCTGGTATTTCCAGAAGACCTGTTTTTCGGCCTCCTGAGGCTGCAGACTTCCCTCGAGACTTCGAGAGGGTGAAAACGGCCTCAAATGGGCCAAAATCAGCTGGGAGGCATGTGGAGTCGTTGTGCAGGTAAGGGGGCAGGGTGGGGGTGTTGCGCACACATGCACAGGGGGGCAGGGCGCATTGGATTGTGGGTGCTGGCATGCGCGCGCTTTCGGCACACCACAATAAAAAGGTTCGCCATCACTGCTTTAGAGAGACATCAAGTAACTGTGATGACTGAGAATAGATGTCAGAGTAGCAAGAGAAGGATGGGTAATGGGAAGAACAAAAGTTACATTGGTATATGACTCACAATAGTGGGTAGCACTTAAATTCAGCACTGGAAAGAGGCCATAATTGAGAGGGGAGTTTTTCTACCTCAGTTGTAACACTCTAGGTTTGGATTTCCTGAGACTTAATTCTTTGTTCCTATTAAGAAACCAAGAGGTATTAAAGAAAAAAAAGGGTTAGGAGCTACTACTATCATTCTTCCTTTTCTGTCTGTGGCCATTTAGGCTTGCACCTAAATGTAGCAAATCATTCCTTTCCCCATTGCCCTCATGATATTGCCTTCATCTCATCCCATCTATAAAACAGTTTTAAACCGTTGCTAGCTGTACTGTGCTAAAGTAGTATTTTCCCCTTTATTGCAATACTCTCCACTGATAGCTTCCTGATGTTACTATAACTTGGCATTGCTATATCTATCACCACCACTGTCTTCTGGTTCTTGGCTATTTTCAGTTTGCCTGGTTGATTAGCCAGTACCTGCCTGTCTATATGGATCTTGAAGTCTCAGATGATTGTAGTCCTGTTATTTTCCATGACTTCCTGTGAAATCTTGGACTGGGAGCTCAGGTGTTGGCTACAAAGCCAGTTGTTCTTCCAGGTCTTTTAAATCCAGAATGTAATGTTTAGTTGGTCTACTTAAACCTGTGAGAGTAGCTGCTTGTTTGCTACCATATGTTGAGATATTGGGTAACTAGGTATTTCTCAGAGAGTGTGAACATAAGTCTCCTGGCCATCCATAGGTCCCTCATATTATCTCTCATTAGGTCCGCTGTTAGAGTAGCATTCCATCAATTCTACATTTGCTTGTATCCATTTGTGGTTTGTTCCAGTAGCTTGGTTATCATCAGATTATCCTAGATCCCAAAATCTGATGCAGCCCTTGTTAATCCGGCATGACTCTTCTAGTTCATGTGATTCTCGTATCTGAGATAGGAAATTTTAAGCATTAGGGGTTCTTTGCCCAAGGATCACTAATGGTAAGATGGGTACCAGCCAGAACCTTGATTTCCCTCATCAAAAACTGGTACTCTAATCTCTATACTTATCTGGTCACATACACATCAGCAACTAATTGCTACCAACAGATTAGGATGTCCTGTAGGATGTCAACCTATGGAAAGTGCTCAGAAAAATGGAAATCCAAGAACATCTTATTGTCCTCCTGAGAATCTTATATACAGATCAGCCACAGTATGGACAGAAGATGGTGAAACAGACCAGCTCCAGGTTGGCAAAGGAGTGAGACAAGACTTTATATAAAGGCAATGCAGCACAGGAGTTAAAATGTTGGATTACAAGCTGGGAAAGCCATCTTCCAACAATGAACTGTGAATGTTATTGAGTTTGTATCAATCACAGTATCTCACTTTAAGTTACTTTACAGATGAAGAATCGGCACCTACTTGATGCCATTCAAATAAACCACCCGACCTCAAACAGATTAAATTAATGAAGAAAAATGGAGGTATCTCACACCTACAAAACGTCTGTCCATTAAGAACTTCCGGGAAGAGCGACGTTAACCTTTAACAATCACAAATTCAGTGGAACTTACTTTCAAGTTAACAGATTTATTCAGTCGCACATTTATCCTGATCTTGGTTTTTTTTGGGGGGGGGGAAATCCCCCTATTAATTACAATTCAGAACTGAAGGAAGATTAGTTCTTCTGGAGACAACAGGGCCCCAACCTTCCGAACGGTGAAACTGGAAAGCGGGGTACCTCCGCGAGAAAGCCGCACTTCACCCAGGCCCTTCGGCGTGAAAGTTCGGCGCTCTCCCGAGCTCTGCCCCTTTAAGAAGCGTCTCTTCTCGCTAAATTGCATCAGGCACGCGCGCGGCCTCCGTGCTCGAGCCGGTGGCCTTCCCCCACCCCTTCCCTTTCCGAGGCGCGCTCGCTGCCGAGACGAGCGTGCACGCTCTCTCGGCTTTTCAAAGGCGGAGCTGGCTGAGAGGCGCGCGCTCTCGCTGCCCAGTCGCGTGGTCTCCTTGCTTCTCCATATTGCTGCGGCGGCATCAAGAGGAGACGGGGGAGGGGGGACGTCGGGGTTGGGTTTCCAGGGTGGGGGGAGGAAGCCGGCGGCTCGACCCCCCCTCGCTTTGGGTGCAGACTTTACCTGAGCGGAGAATCAGCCGAAGAAAAAAAAGGGGGGGAACAGGGCTGGGCTCGGTGAGGCGGTTCTGGAAAGGGGGAGTCGGCAAAGTTTGGGGCGGGCGCGTGTTGTCCGGGAGAGCCTGGAGGCGGGCGAACGAGGCGGCTCTCCGGGGGTGCAGATGGCTACCCAGGTGGAAGCTCTACCGCCCGCCAACCCTCTCCTGCCTGCCGAGGAACACGGGCTGGTTATCAAGAAGCCTCAAGAGAAGGGCGAGCACCTCATGCACCAAGGAGAGAAGGCCAACGCCGACGAGGGCAAGGGGGGCGGCCCCGACAGCTGCAGCAAGGAAGAAGGCGGCGGCGGCGGCAACGTGGGTGACCATCTGCGCCGAAACGGGGCCCTGCTGAAGCCCCCCAGCATCAAACAGCAGAAGGAGGACAGCAACCATCAGGAGAAGGAGAACCTGCTGCACCAAAGGAGTGGAGGCATAATAGAGTCAAACCGGCTGCCCGGAGAAGCCAGCAGCAGCAGTAGCGGCGGCGAGGAAGGCGGCGAACAGGGAGGAGTTGGCCGCAAGGAATTCATCGAGGCCCCTCCACCCAAGGTGAACCCTTGGACTAAAAACGCCCCGGCGGCGTTAGTTACTCTCAACGGACAGTCCCCTCCAGGTGGGTAGGTAGGATGAGTCCTTTGGCGCGGCGGAGGTTGGCGGGCCGTGTGTGTGTTTTATGGGGGTGGTGGGCTTATTCTGATACGGCAAGCGGGAGCCAGTCATTTCGAGGTGGGGAGTCCTCCCTCTGCAATATGGTGACATGCTCTCCCCCCTAATAGAACTCCACCCTGCCTTTGTCCATGTACGCCCACCCGGTGCTACTTCACCCGGCACCTCTGGGAGCCTCTTGGCAAAAAAATGATTCGGGGTGGGGGGAGAGGACTAATGGAGGTCCGTCAAAGCATGCTACGGGGCATTCAAAACCAAGCGTGAAATATATCCGTAGACCTCGGTGGTTGCAAAACGCGCCCCGTGAACTGTTCCCCGCCCCCAGTAAACCCCTTCTCCCTGTCCGCGTGCTTGCTTTTTTCTTGCAAAGTTACGGCGGGGGGGGGGGGGGGGGGTGCATTGGATTCGCTTCTATTCGCTTCCTTTCAGTTCCCGGCCGAACTCCCGGGTATTGCGATGTGTATATCGACGTTTTAACCAGCTTGAGACCCCCGCGCCGCTTCCTTTTCCTAAATAGGCCTAGTTGAATAGCACGGTGCTGGGTGAAGTCTAAGAATATCTGGCGGTGAATGTGTAACGCCGTCTAAAGTAGACGTGCCCGAGGTCCTTGGCGTGGAGGGAGAGGGGAGAGAAGAGGAAAAATAAGGGGTGGTAACCGGAGCTTTCCTTTATCCGGGGCATCGAGGACTTTTAAAATGCATGCCGATATTTTTTTAAAAAACAAAACCGGCGTTTTGATTTGCTTGAATTGTGTGTGTGTGTGTGTGTGTGTGTGTGTGTGTGTGTGTGTGTGGTGGGGAGGAGAAGCGACCAGCTCCCGAGTGCTGACCCCCCCCCCCCCTTGAAACGGAGGAGGAGGGCATCCGAAGCGCGTGTAGCCGAGGAGGGCAGACCGAGTGCTGACTTAAGCGAGGCCGAGGCGACGGTGGGTCATGCGGCTCAACCGGGGCGGGGCACTGGGAAAAGTGCTGCATTTCGAAGGTTCCATGGCGTTGTTGCGGCGTTTGTAGGCCCCAGCGCAAACGTGCCTCTGGCGACGGTTTGAGCGCTTCGTCGCCCAAACGCTTCGCCGCCCAATGGCTAGGCGTGTGTGTGTCTCTGTCTTTCTCTCTGTGTGTGTCGCCCATTCGGCGTTTCCTCCCTTTCCCAGCATTCCACTGCAGTAAAGGCAACGTGGTTTTTGGGTTTGCGAGCATGTGATTTTCCTGAACTCGCTCCGAAGCCTTTGCTTTTTTTGGACTCCCCCTTTCCGGCTGTGCGTTTAGCCTGTCTGTTTTTAACTTTGCTCTCTTGGGGGAAAGCTGCTTTCCAGCCCCTTCGGATAGCTGTCTCGACTTGTAGCGAAAACGCAACCTACGCCTACCTAGGACGGAAGGCAGAAAAATAGGCCTCTCTGCACCTGTACGGTTACAGTAATGTATTGCCATTTATTTATGAAAAGGGCTCTTCCTCCCCTCACTCCTAACATGGTGCTCACTGATGGTGCAAGAAGGTCCCTAAAGTATGTGGGGCAAAGGTCTTTCAAATGTCCACGTGTGCTTATTTCTTTCTACTGTAGTTTATTGAGCGCAGATGGGATTTTCTGTTGTAGTGGTAGACATTTAAGCCTTCGGTTTCATAGCTTGAAAAATTATCTAACATTTATCCTGGGAGGAGGCTGAAAAAGAATCGTTCATTTTCTTAATGATTTTGGGGATGACAACTTTGTCTCCCTCCTGTGATGTAAATATATAGCATTAACAAAATTAAAAACAATACTGCTTTGTTGGACAAAACTGAAAAGCTATGTGGTACATTTTCTTTGCAAACATATGGTTGGTTTCAAGTGAGATAAAAGTTTTAATATAACTATAGGTTGGTACCTATGAATTTGAAATTTGATCTTTTCTCTTTTTGAAGAGCATAAAGGGCTATTTAGCAGACATAATTTGGAGGAAATATCAAGTCCTTGTGTTAGTTTAAATAGCTTTTGAATATTGATTATTGTTTATTGATGAGTGTATGCATCTGTCATCTAGTATGAATTATTCAGTTTCATTGATGCATAGATTGCACACCATCTGGTTTCTCCCTCCAAAATTGGGGAAAATACATTTACATTTTATAACATAACAGTACAGTGTTAAAATGGCTTTATAATTACAGGAATCAATGTGCATAAGTGTTCATCTGAAACAGTAAAACTGGAAGATATATGATAGTACTGAGGCAGTCTGATCTATTCAACAGAACAAGAGAGGCCCAGGTTCAGGTAGACCCTAAGCCATAGAAACTAGAAACATCTACATCATAGGGTTGCTCTTTGGGAAAATAAAATGGAGATTTCCACAGTAAGTTTTTGTAGCTTATGGAGGAAAGGCAGAATATCAAGCAAATAAAATAGACTGCTCTGTAACCTGTTTACATGAACACAGAGATAGGAGATAACTTGGCATGTTGAGCAACTCATGTAAATGTTGGTTTTAATTGAAAATAATTTGTTTTAATTTTATCCTTTTTTTCCCCTTAAGTCATCCTAAATGCTCTTGCCTGTTTTCTTCACAACAACTTTTGTGAGATGAGTTGGCCTAAAGAGAGTAATGGCCCCAAAGCCCTTCAGTTGGTTTTCACGCCTAAGAGAGGACTAGAACTCATTGTATTTTGATTTTTAACTTGGCATCTGTTCCTACAACAAATATTTAAGTTCTTTGTGGGCATTTTTGTTGAAAAATACATGTTGCTGATTATGAGAGTGCATAGTTAAAACAAAGTGCAATACTATTGATAAACACTTTTCCTCTTAAATAAGAAATACATGTTTCCTTTCTTTTTTTCTATGCCAGGTTCTTTGGGATTCTAGAAGCAAAATCTGAAGAAATTTTGTTTCAATATATTTTTTGGATTTGATTAGGCTTCAAACTTTTAAACTCTTAAATGATGATTCATAATGGAAACCTGTTCTATCATCACTGCCACTGCCAGTTTATGTACCCATGGATAGATTCAGCAACACACTTTCCTTATTCCTTTCCTTCCTTGTCTCATACAGAGTACTCCCAGTACAGCTAATTTAACATTAGAGAGAAAAGAAACATGGGTGTGCTCATACATTCCCAGATTGGATTAAGCAATTGCAGATTACCAGCATAGTTTAAGTGGATTGAATTGATACAGTAACCAGAACTGTTTTTTTTAAAGCTTGCTGTGTTAGATTATTTATTTGCTAAAGATGTACATATGTGATGGGAACATTTATATTTGTTAGATACTCAAAACCAAAGGTGTTTATTGTTTAAGAGTTTATTCTTACACTATAAATGTGTGTGTGTATGTTATGAGAAAGCATACAATATTGAAATTTTACTTTATATGAGAAATGTTTATCAAAGTGGATTGTTGATAAAAGGAGACATCCAATTGGATATCAGAGCTAAATCAGATATCTATTGTTGAGGTACAATGTTCTAATAGAATACTGGCCTGAAAATATTGGAAGTGGTAATAGAGGTCTTCTAGGTCCATTTCCCTGTCTACTCAGGATTGTTACTGCAACATCTGACAGATGGCCGTCAAGCCTTTGTTTAAATACCTGCAGTGAAGGAAATTTTCTACCTCCTGAGGCAGTGTGATTTTGTTGAAAATTAAGAAATTAAAATATGATACAGTAGATGTTTATTCAATGTCTTTCAGAACTGAAGTCACCTAAGGGAAAAAATTACCTTGAGATTTATTTGATCATCTATTCCTAGTACATTCCCTAACTGCATTAGTACAAGCATGTATAAAAGCAGCTTAATTTCTCACTATATGTGACAGAAGTCTTTTCAGTGTGCATAAATTACAGCAGTCTTTCATCAAGGCCTTGCTTAATTTCAATAACATTGTTGCTTCATTCTTAAGCTATGCCCTGGTTCACGTGTCATATAGTAAACCTTGTAATTCTTTGACTGGGCTATTAATACTGTATGGATTCAGCCAATTAAAGAAACTGTGACTACGCAGCCTACCTCCTAGTAAAATAACACCAACTCACTGCTTGATGATGCAATAAAAAGCTCTTTGTGGGCATGTTTTTTTTAATATTTTCTCTTTGGTGCTTTATTTAGTATAATTTCCTCCTTTTAAATCTAATGTCCCTGTTAATACAAATTTAGAAACTAATGAATACTAAGAAAGAATGAGTTTCCTAAAATCCAGTGTGATATAGTAGTCAGAGTACTTATTTAGAAGTGGGTTAAAAACCAGATTCAGGTCCCATTCGGTTTATTGTTCACCAACAGATGTTAAGTTCATATCTGCCTTGACCTAAAACAAACAAAATGTTTAAAAGGTCTATTTTTGTAGTTACTTACAAGCACATCTAAATTATATTAAAGTAATTTCTTTATAGTCCCCAAGACATGGCACAACTTTTGAGTACCCCTCAAGTTTAGAAATTGAAAGGTGAAAAATTTGACATGCCCTAGAGGTTGGATTACTGTTATGAAAATAATACAGGTAGTCCTTGACTTACAACCACAATTAAGCCCAAAATTTCCATTTGTTAAGTTAGTTGTGCCCCATCTTATGACCTTTTTGACCATAATATATTCTCTCTCTCTCTCTCTTTCTCTCTCTCTCTCTTTCTCTCTCTCTCTCTCTATCTCTTTTATATGTATCCATGTATTCATAACTATGTTTTTACTTATATCTATTATCTTGTAAGCAATTGACAAACCAAATAAATAAAAATAAAATAGTAGTTAAGCGATTGTTGGGTGAATTATATAGTTGTTAACTGGCTTGGCTTCCCCCAATGACTTGGCTTGTGGGAAAGAAGGTTACAAGTGGTGATCACATGACTACGAGACATTGCAATTGTCATAAATGCACACCAGTTGCCAAGTATCTGAAGTTTGGCAATGGCCATAAGTGTGAAAACAGGTCATGAGACACTTTTTCTATGCAGTTATAACTTTGAATAGTGAC